GTGTATATGTTATTGGTGGAGCTGGCCAGAAAGCATTAGATATACCATTAGAATGTTATAATTTAAATGGACCAATTCAATTAACTATACAATGTTCTATAAAAATAACTAAACTTATTTTATCTAAATTTTTATATACCATAGAATATGGTTTATTAACAATGAATAAGAATTATAATGATCATAATCACAATATGAATAATAATGATGATGATGATGATAATAATAGTACTACAATCTTTCCATATTCTTGTCATTTAAATAGAAATAAATTAAAAATGAATTATTTAATGAATTTAGATGAAAATTTAAAAAATCTTTTAAATTATCATGTGAAATATTTATTAGAAGAATGGTTATTATAATACAGAAATATTATTTAGTTCAAATGAACTGTGAATATAACATGTAGATATTGGAAGTAACATTGATATATTTCAGTAGTATATTATTATTTAAATCATTTAATGTACATATTTGAAATAAACAAGAATTGGATTGAACTAGAAAAGAAGGCTCAAGATAGAGTGAGTTGAAGAATGATGGTCGGCAGCCTATACTCCATCTAGGAGTAATAGGCGTAAGTAAGTAACATATTTGTAGTTTCATCAATTACAGAATGGATTTGTGATAATTCTTTTATTCCAAATAAAATGTTAATAAATTAAAATGAAGTATATCATTTAACTAAATTTATTGATCTTGTGTTTGTTACTAGCAGTTTGACATTGTACAATGCTTGTATTATTCATAAATATACAACTTATCATTTTTATGTTTTCTTGTTTATACATTTTGGAATCTGTATGTATCTTGTTTGTTTAAACTGTCAATATTTAAATTGTTTGTGGATAGTAAAGTCAACTCGATTTGATTGGGAATAACATGACTGCCTAACTCTTATATCGAGGTCTGTTAGCTGGACATAGATTGGATTAAATCATGCTCAATGCACGCTGATTGGATAAGAATTAGCCAATCAGCGTTAGTCAATACTTAGTGAACACTAGAAATTTCATGTGAAAAGCTATGAATATACTAACGTTTTCCCTACTACACTACTTACTTTCATCTAACCTTGTTATTTGGAATGTAATCTCTTCTCCTGTACAACCGTGATCTGATTTGGGGGACTTGTCGAGTGAATCGGTGTCCGACAAGACTAAGCAATAGGAATAGCTGGGTTATAACCGTGAGAGAATTATAGCAATGTCATACGCGAATAACACTTATCTCGGGTTGCTCTGTCGTGATGACCAGGCAGTATGTGTTCTTTGGGGGTTGTATGGAATAAATGGGATCTTACCAAAGTAATTTGCTACGTTGGATAGATGAGAAAGTACAGAGTATAGAGATACTACCATGTGACCCGAGCCATGATATGCGATCGATCAATCCGCGTTGATTATCCTAGACAGCTCAGCGTCTGACGATCGGTCCTCTAATGCAGAAACAATCCAGCTTGATGAGTGATTTAGGTAAGACCTTGTGTTATTTCATTGATAACATACTTAGTAGTTCTTACATAGTAGTACTCACGAGTTGAAGTAATCAGTCGAAGAATCATTGAGGACTATGAGGGATTGTCGCTGTTCATTATTTCACAGCAGTGCACACACTAGTATAGAAAAAGCGCTGTGTAGTTTTTCAAGTCGGTAGTCTTATTGATACTGTGCTTGTCATAAGACCTAAAAGTTCTATATAGTACGAAAAGCTGCCTAATTAGCGCCTAGGAGTCCCAAACAAAGATTGAATAACTGGATAGCTCTTGCGTGTTCTCAATGATCTTAACAGACGCCACTTCAGCTGTTCGCTAGGAATGCATCATTCGAAACGAGCTTCGTTCTCCGACTTCCGAATGTGATATAAATTTGGTAACTATTACAGTAACGGTGACCAGGTTGATTTGTCTACGAACTATATAATTAAGATAACAGCCCCACAACACATGTCTGGGATGCGTCTTTCTCTAAATGCGAAATACTGTCAGATGTCTCACTAACAGAGCAAAAAGGATCTGTACAGTAGATACTCTAAGTCAGGAGCTTGAATTTATCAGCAACTCACTGACCGAGATCGGCTACCCCAGCGCTTTCATTAAGAAGTACATGTATGATATAATAAAGAAGTCGGAGATTTCGACTGTTCGTAAGAAACCTTTATACATGAAAGTGCAATTCGACAGGGATGTGGCTAGTGACACTCTGAAATATAGGTTAACCAAAGTAATCACCAGAACATTCTACGCAGCCAATCTTGCGTTGACCTTCTCTTGTTGACCAGCGATGTCTACTCAAACGAAGGATAAGTTACCTGAGTTGGCCTCTTCCATGTGCATTTACAAATTCAGCTGCTCCTGTGGAGATAGCTATATAGGGCGTACTACCAGGCAACTTAACCAACGAATGAGTGAACATCTACCAACTTGGTACATAAAGGGCCAGATAAAATCTATTCGCAGTTCTATATTGGCACATCTCATTGGTAGCGGTCATGCTGTAGATAAATCGAAATCATTTCGAGTTATCTATCGTATACCTCCATCATTTCCTGACGGAGTTCGTTCCCGCCTCCTACATATAGCTGAAGCCATTGGAATTCGTACATATAACCCCAATTTATGTGTACAGAAGAAATACGTGACTCCCCTATCCCTTCCATGGCCAATTATAACCTAACTAACAATTTTTTTTTTAATTTCAAATTTTATTATTATCATTATTTATTTTATTCTATCTGTGTTATTGTTAACCTTATTTCCACATCCATTATTTGTTTGTCATTATCCGCCTCTTTGTATTCTTCACTATCTAATTATTTACACACATCTTATTACGTAATGATTTTAATGTTTTGTGATTACTATGCCTAGTCTATTTACCCATGTTTGTTTGACCTTCTATTCCCAACGTTTAACTATTGATAAGAGTTTCGTTATTGGATTTTATTATTCTCACTATTATCAGTTCACCTGTCTTCCTACTACTATCAACTTGTACTTTTACCTATTACGTGTAGTGACTTATTCTATTTCATTGTGATTATTGACCCATATTGCCTTGATTGGTTTAAAATTTTCGTATAAATATTCATGTATATTAGAGTAAAGCCTGATGACGATCTAATTGAAAACAATTGTTCGCTTATATGTGTTGTTCTAAATACTGCTTCAGCACTGGTCTCTGTCAGCGCCAGAACTAGCAGTAGGAATTGAAGTAGTTGAACACATAGCACTTCACTTACCTGGTAAGTTTCATCAACCCCGATAAGTTGGTGACTAACGGAAATTCGGCACGGATTTAAAAGTCTCACATTACCTTTTCCTAACACACGTCGTAGGCTAAACGTTTGTCTCAGCGATCAGGCTAGTATATGGCACCGCATTTAAAAGTAAGGAGCATGTACAAGTTCGTAGTATTCGATTAGTTATCTCCAGGTTTGTTAGAACAATTAAGCGAGGAATGTTAAGTTTAGAGGCAGGTCACTAAGCACAGCTAGTAAATCAGTTAATGAGGTTGTCAGTTCAGACATTACGTATGCCCAACAGCCATCTACCAAGATACAGGATGTTTGCTGGCATAATACTAGATTAAAGCGAAAGCAAGAAGTGGTAATATTAAAATATGATACATGTCAATGAAGTCACTGATTACTGGTCTATTGGATTAATTCAACTGGTATACGTAGTTTAGTCCCTGAGTTACCTTGTCACTTAATACACAAATACATTGAATACAAAACAAAAGGGTCAATAGATCAGAACTTAATATTTATGTGTGTATGTACGTTAAATTTATATATGTACATAGGTAAAGTGATGTGTATATGATGGTGGACTAGAATATACACAAAATACTTTTAATAAGCCACACATTGTTCTTAAATAACACAAATAATCGTTGTCACATATACATGCAAATTTTTTTCTCTCTGTTACTGTCTAGCTGTGTACTATTCTCTCTCTCTCTCACTCTCTGTTTTTATACTCAACAGGAAAAGATAAAAACAAAAGAAAATGGTTATTATGTACACAACTGTAAAAATAGGGTAAACAATCATAAATAATAGTCATAATACTAACATTGTAATAAATAAGTAGTAAATTGTCACATTCCACAAATGCTTTCTTTTCGAAAGCAAATAAACACTAAATGACTAACGGACAAATTGTAGTAGTAGTAGTAGTAATAATAATAATAATAATAATAATAATAATAATAATAATAATAATAATAATAATAATAATAATAAGCAAATAAATAATACAGTATCAATGTAACAAAAAAGAACGAATCAAATGTGAAATGAATAGAGAATATACTTAATCCTTTTTGTTCACAGGATCAATTATTGTTACTGACAAGTGGAGTTTGACATAGGCACTTTATTGGTGTATGTATGTATGTATGTATGTAGTTATAAAGACACATAGGGGGGTTGTTGTCAATAAATACAAATTAAATACGAGTCATAATAGTTAATCTTTCTTTCTTTTAAAGATAAATAAACACGTACACATACATATATATATATATACCGAGAGATAGATGGGGGGAACGGGGGGTGGGTGGTGAAAATTATGTGTTCAAAATCATTGAATATTACAAATAGATGAATAAAAATAGAATATTGAACACATAAATTGAACAGAGACTAGTTATAGTTAGCTAATAATCAATTAGTTCATTTATTTATTAGGTAGTTGAACGCACATAAATTGAAATAAATAACAACAAGGAAATACACAAACAATGTGACAATAATTGTAGGCAAGATCTAATCTACATTAGAAATACAAGAAAAAGTGAACAATGTAATCTCTAGCAATCTGTTCCCTCTTTTCTGAATAAAACCCATGCAACAAGTTTTATTCTATAACATCGATCGCTCCATGATATACAAATGGATGGATAGTTGATGATCTAACATAAATAAACATACATAAATATGTGTCCTTCTTATGTATATCAGTTCAGTTGTTTTGTTTTTTTTTCTTTTTTGAAATATAAAAATAAGTTTTATTAGTCATTGTCAACATCATCATAAATAATGACACCAATTCTTTGATTTTCGTTTCTACTTCTATATTACAACAATGATATGAACATAAAGAAACGTTTGAAAGATTGGCGCATTGATTAAGAAATATAGACAAAGTAATAATGATATATGAATAATATATTGCTAGAAGTGTGCACGTATTCCATAATTCGCATAGTTACACACACTTAACAGATAGTTTATAGTCATGATATTCTAAACATTTCATTGAACAACATATATTATCATCTCCAGAAATTCCCACTAGTAGTAGCAGTAGCGGTTGTGGTCGTGCTATTCCCACAATGACAAATAAGAGGAACTAGATGATATATACGTGTATGTGTATATGTATAATTAAAAAAGTGTTGAATCGGCCATTAAAAGTAACTACCCCCCCCCATTGAATGTTCATGGTATAGTTCGTATTGAAAACTTGACATGAATATAAGCATATATATATATGACCACAGATATTTCTAGACTTGAATAATCATTGATTCCTGTAAGTCTATGATTAAATATTCTATCATGTATGAAATGAATTGTATGAACAGTTACATGAATGTGTGTAAACATTTGTTGACTATAATTGGAACACTTTTACTCCCATCCAACATATACACACAATGCCAATCTCATTCATTTAAATAAAATAAAGAAAAAAAATGGATAAATTTCTGTTAACAAGAAAAAAACAACAACAGTAATGTAGATGAAATGAATGAAAAGGCAATCTAACAAACCAATAAAGAGATTCACACAATTATGCATAAACATTGAATCAAACCACAAATTAAATGAAAGAATAGGAAAGAGGAGATAAGCAACAACAAAAAAATCTTATTGATTATATCGGTTTTGAAAGTTTACTGATTACACGAATTAATGCGCCATTCTCTTCTTTCATCTTGGAAATTTCTTCACGCAAACGAACAATTTCCTATGGAAAGTAGAAAAAAAAAGCATTCGTCAATAAAAAATGTATACATTGAATTACCATTGTAAATACTAGTAGCCCCCCCCCCGATGCCTTGGTGCGACCGAAAGTGGGGAGAGTCAACTCTCCCTCTCGAAATGCTCTCACATGGCCACGTGCACACACCCTTTGTTGGGGAAGTCCTACTCACTGCACAATTGGGTTCCCATCAGCCGAAAAAGAAACTTAATAATAACTCTCGCCACAAGAATACGAAGAATCTGTAGCCCTGAGGTCGTAGAGGAAGAATTGAGTTTTTTAAAAGAGATACTTATCAAAAACGGATATCCTTCTATATTCATTGACAAGAACATGAAACAACTGCAGTAGAAAAGAAAATTTTATACATGAACATCGACTTCAAAGGTGATAGAGCCGCATATATCTTAAAGAGGAGAATTTCAGATTCTTTAAAAAGAACATTTTTCGCAGCAACATTGCGAATATTATTCTCCAGCCGATCACTGTTCGCTAATAATCTGAAAGATAAATTATCGCATCTGACCAATTCAATGTGCATTTACCAATTTACCTGCTCTTGTGGAGCTAGGTATATAGATCGTTCGATGCGTACTTTATCAAAAAGAATTCAAGAACATTGTCCGGCGTGGCTAAGAAGAGGAGGCAGCGGCTCAATAAGAAGTTCTATAATCGAACACCTTGTGAACACAGGTCACTCAATCAAGACAGACTCTGCGTTCAAAGTCATCTACAAGGTAAGTAGAAACCTTCCTAAGACAATTAGACTACATCTCCTTTGCATTGCCGAGGCAATAGCCATACATTTTGAAAAACCAGAATTATGTGTACAAAAGAGACTGGTACAACCTCTTCTTTTACCGTGGTCTTAAGGTATTAAAAAAAAATTTTTTTTTCTCTTCCTCATTACTCTTGTTCTTTTACAGCCACCTGTTTCACCTTCCATCTTCCCTTCAAATCTTGTACCCCCAACCGGTTTGTTTTTATTTCAACGATCATTCCGATTACATTTCATCTCTGTTTCAACATTTTATGTTATTTTATCATGCTGAGCTACTCTTACCCGATGAATATCTAAGCCATTAACTATCAAACTTTCCTTGTTTTAAAATTTTTTTTCTAATACCTTTGTTTATTTAACCTCACCGTCACCATGTATATCATAAGTTTATTATCAGTATTATTATCACCCTGTAAAAATAAGTATATATATTTGCGATTGTACAGCTTTGAAAATGAATTCGCCGAAAAGAGAACTCTTCGCTGAACTAATCTTTCTTTCTTATTTAACGGATGTTGTTTTCGAAATCGAGAGGATGAAAAGTGAATGTTTGGCGCCTCAACCGAGTTAGTGAATATCAAAGATCCACCTAGGGGGAGTTGAAAAACCCTGATTCCAAACCAATGGTGTACATGGGCTCCAGTATCCTGAAGGAACAAATGGCGTATGAACCTACTATTAGTCACCGGCTACCATGGTGCTTACATCTCCTGATGTTGCTCCACTACCTTGTGGATCAGACCTTTAGGTCGAAGGCTGAGGGTGTGGACCCCTAATAAAACCATCTGCTTCGGTTTGGGCATCCGTGTAGCATCCCAGCCCTTACATGAATCGAATCATTTATGTGGCGCATATCTATTTGGTGCCTCCTTGTACCAATGTTTACGTGTTTAAATAAATAGACACTAGTAGAATACCAAATACGTGTCATAAGTATTTGAAGAAATGAAAGCTTGGCAGTAATCATCTTTAAGTACAATCTATTATCTGACTGATAGATATGTTCTTATATTCTGATTGGTCAATACTATTCAGTAATTATTGTAGTCACATTGGAGTATTCAAAGAGTGGTTGAATGATTGTTGTGAATTGGTTGTCTAACTTTAGATCGACTAGTGATTTCAACAAATTTATTTTATCATACAATTCTTTCTTCTTGTATGTGTAAAATTATTAATACAACAAAATACAGAGCCTAGATGATAATTTCCATCATTGATAAGTAACTGACTGTTTTGTGAATTCGTTTACATTTATCGATTGAAAGTGTCATGAATTATTGTCTTTATAGATTTCTTTCTCATTAAAGGTGATATGACGTAAAATGTTTTGTATGATAGTTGAATATGATATTTCAGATACATAGTACATTAATTTTAGACACCAAAAAAAGGGACACAAAACAAACAACCATTGTGAATAAAGTAAGGGTAAGGTACTATTATTTGTGGATAGTTTTTAACTCACTTTCATTTTGTCTTCATATGAGTATAGTCGACTCTGGAGCTGAAGTAATTAAAGAAAAGAATATGTGAGAAAAAAAGATACATAATAATCCTATATTAATATGAATGGCCAACTCTTAATACCATGAGCTAAGTAACAGTTTGGTAGTGACTGATATAATGAGATGATGGAAAGTGTCTAATTATTATCAACCTCCAATTCAAATCGGAAGTGTAATTAATTGGTGTGATTATAGTTATGTCGATCTAAATAAATTTCATTTCAAGACAATCTAGCCAAAGCATTTTATTAATGTAAAAACGTTTTGTGGAAATTGTTGCCCTTTATAGTTTACATCATGAACTAACTTATTTTAATAAGACAAGGATTGAAAAGCAGGAAGAAATCGATAGTCGTTTTGCCATTGATACGGATATGAAGAAGATAGCCACTAATATAATTGGAAGATGTAGACTATTCGATACTGATATAGTGGTGTTTAAAAGGTTGAGCGGTCACTGCGAGACCTCAATCGTTTTGGTTAGACCGCCGACTATATAGTGGATGGTCACTACTTAGGAATCTCATACTAGGACAAAACAGCCGTCCAGTGCTTCCTTAATTTCAAAAACTAAATTCCGTTTATGATGTAAATCATAAGACAATCTATCGTTGTGAAACCTTAAAATTCCAGGGATTTTAACCCGATATATACAGACTTATTTATGCAACAAATAAATTATACAAATACAAACCTCAAATTACAAAAAGAAGAATCATATTTCCCGCCGAAACAAAATTTGAATCCGATACAAAGGAAATGATTAGACTGTTTTACATTAATTGGGCAGATGATCAGTGTCAATAGTGAAATATCAATAGGATAGTAGATAATGTTTGACTTAATATTCATGTGATTAAAGTTACGTTATTAGATTAATACAGATTTCTGTTTCAAATCGACTAGTAATTCTACAATACAAGATTAATGTTCATCAGGTTATCCGTTGAACTTGAAAAGCTAAACTAGAGATAAAGTCATATGATAATATTCGAAAACATACAAGATTCTTTCAGCTTGATTCGATCCACACCACATAAAGATTATTAATATAAATTCAATATCTAGAGAAGAATAATAAGGTGAATAGATCAATGTCATAGTGATCGATTTCGAACTAAGTTATCAAAACTGTCCAATCACAATTATTACAATAAAGATGACAACTAGAAGGTTTAAATCTTTCAAGACACAATTTATTCTAATACAATAGAGAAGAGCAGTGGCAAATTGAAATTTGATAACCACCAATAGTCCTTTTTATCTTCTTCAATCAATTCATACGTTGATCAACGTAAAAAAATTGAGTTAAGCAGTGATTAGTTATGCGTAAAATACATTTTTCAGATATCTCAGTGGATAAAAATTCTCAAACTCAACAACCTATTTATTTATCTAACCAGATGGATAAATAATTCGAACATGATAACATAAATTATCGATAAATTGGAGGAAAAGAGATATAAAGAAAGCATATGAATGCAACCAAACAAACTAAGATTAGTATAGAAATGAAGCACCATTAGCGTGCTATAATAATAATAATAATAGTAAATCTAACGTAAAAAGAACTAATGTTAGATGACAATAGAACCAACTGTTAAAACATAAGACTAAGTAATGCGGTTGAATAGGTTAGAATGCTAAATGATAACTCTCAGTGGATGTCTTTTTTTAAAAAGCATTCATATAACTTAAGTATCAAGTGTAGATCTTATACACTCAATCTTGAGTTACATTTATTTATGTAAAAGTTCGTCATACCAATTCAATTGCCCAATGTAAAATAATAGAAGTACGATTCAAACCGGTCCCCGAATGCCCTGATATGGCCGAGAGTGGGGTGGGTTCGCCCTCCCTCTCGAAATACTCTCATACGGCCACGCATATCCAGCCTCTGCTAGGGAAGTCCTACTCACTGCCTTCTCGTGGCACCGGTGTTGTTTACGAAAATGAGAGGACGAAAAGTGAATGTCCGGCGCTTTAACCAGATTCCAAACAAATGGTGCACATGGGCTCCAGTATCCTGCGGGGACAAATGGCGTATGAACCAATCTCTGGTCACTGACTACCATGGGACTGCATCTTCTCACGATGCTCCACTGCCTTGTGGATTAGACCTTTGGGTCAAAGGCTCGGGGTGTGGCCCCCTAAGATAACCACCTGCTTCGGTTTGGACACCCGGGCAGTATCTCAACCCGCACACAAAAACATGATAAACTGATTCGAACCGATGACCTATCACATGGAATAGTTGAATGTGTTAACTCCTTACTATTTTCAAAGAAAGAAATTACAAGAACTACAAATGAAAATAATTCATAACAGAAAATTATCAAACTAAACTTGGATATAATTAATTTTCGACTAGAAAATAACAAACATTGTGTTACAGGACTTGCTTCACCTTGGTTCATTTTTTATAAAATAACTTAAACTAATAACATATTCATTAAAAATAGAACGTTTAAAATAATAATAGTCAAAAAATAAGGAACGGAAATTCGATAAACATGCACATGTAAAGAATAAAAGATTATCAGTAGATATTAATTAGTAATGCTTGATGATGATTAATAAAGTATAACTACTTGTAAGTAGTATAAAACAAAAGACTTAATAATGAAAAGCAACACTAACAACAACCACTATGAAACAAGATGAAATAAATTAATAATCATTATATATTATTGTGATAAGATAATTATTAGTAAGTGATTTAATTGACAACCTGTATGTATGATGAAGTGATGTTGTATAACGAGGAATACGTGATCGATGTTGTGAACGAATTAACTGAAGAATAATGTAAGGAATGATGATATAAGAAATTTTTAATGAAAAAATAAAGATAGAATTAAAACAAAGAAATTTTCACGGATTATAAACGATAAAAAAGGAATTTTGAAGTTGAAATTTAGTTTTGTATATAATAGTGATTCCCTTTTTTTTTTTGAAGTTCACATACAATAGTTCCGTTTTATAAACGAGATTTAAGATTATCAGTATAGGTTTGGGGAATCATGAAGTGATCAATATTCGACAACCATTGAAAATCTGGGAGAACTGCATAGCTCTTTCATCCTAGTATGGGACTCTTCAGAAGTGCGTTTTCACGAACCCGAATATGGGACTTGAATCTGGGATATTCAGTCTCGCGCGCGAATACCTAACTTATAAACCACTAAGCCTGCATTCAAAGGTAAATATGTTTCACTTCAATCAGTTCATGATACTGTTTACGGTGGATATCTGTTTTATAACCGACATAATTGAATTCCACTAATCACAGCTTTTCAATGAAATAAATGTTTGAGTTTGTAAAAAAAAATAAAGCTTTTATATTCATGACATATAAATTGATCGAAAGTGTAACCGAAGTCAGCACAAGCGATTGATGTGAGAATATAAGAAAAACATAAGATTGAAAAATAAATTCACCATTGAGATAAAAATCAATATCGGTCGACGTAATAGTCAATATGGACGACAGTCAAGTGCTTCTACATTTGTTTGGTCGGTTAACCTAAATTGATTCGTGATTTTAAAGAAATTCAAGTAATAATAATATTGTTTTTTTAGCAGATACAAAATAATAGAAAAATGATCTAATACTACACGAGTTATTAAGGCTTAATCATAGTATCTCAGCATCGAAATTAGTTAAATCTAACTTGAATTGAGTTAAGCGGATAGTGTCAATAGTATTTAAACTAAAACTACGATTTAAAACCGACTACATCAAGATCATAGATTATATATATATATATATATATCCATTCACCATAATGGAGCAAATATTGTCAAGCCAGTATGGATCTATTATTCAGTTCTCTTTCAATTATGGTGTAGTGATGTATACATTGTACTTTCCTATTTATACTGTTGTGCGGTCATGCATTATCAGATAAGTTTGAAGTTATGAACTGGATCTTATAATAGAAATTTATCTGCTTGCTATATTCTTGTTCAATTCTGGATATTGGGTAAACGAGAGTGGGGATCTGCATCCAGATCCATTAGGTGCTAAGTATTGATTTCAGTAGTGCTCTCACCTTCATGAAATTACTGGTCAAAACAAGATGATTGTCTCACCGGTTAACGAAAGGCCATAAGGTCCTATGAAAGCAAATGAGGCGAATTAATCAGTAATCGAACTGGATGAAACCACTACTTCTATAATAATAGTCCGACCACTCAGGCCCCAATATCAAACAAGAACTAGTTCTTCTTCTGCTAACATATCATCCACACTTCATCGATGATCTCCATCTTTTAACAAAGTTTTAATTCATAGTGATGTTTCAAAAACAGCGCCTGACAAAAACATCAGTTTTGTGGCGACTAAATGAAGTATTAATTGAGAAATAATGAAGACAATCAATTTGATTTGTTGAATGTATGATTCGATGGCTGAAAAAAACCCTTGCGGCATTGCCTCTGATGGTTTTTACTCACCCCAACGTATGACCGAAGACCCTTTCCTTTTATTGATCCATTTATCGTTTTAATAAGCATTTGTGCTCCCCCTAACACACGAAATTTAAGAAAACATCTGTATACAAGGAAAGTTAGTTACTTCTCGATTAATCAAATCAATCAAACAGAAATGTTCTAGTCACGGTACTATCGATTTTTCCTTCTGATGAATTGGCTAAGGTGCAAGTGAGGTGGGGGACAGGGGAGATAAGGAGAAGACTATATCCATATTGTCTACATGTCAGTGTTAATAATTAGAAGTAATCAAGGCTTATCACGTTTACAGTGTAATTAATAAGGCAATAATAAGTGATAATTATTTACTGTGATCGGCTTTCTAAATTTTTCATAAATTCTAGAAGTAGAATAAAAGAGAAAGAAGCATGTAGTAATGGTAGCACAGTAGAAGTACTAGTGATAATTACAATGAAGTTCTAAGATTTATTAGTGACCTTTAAATCAAATAAGTTTATTCAGTTAATTTTTGTATGTTAGCTAATCAATGAGAGAATAACAGAAA